AAACTCAATCCACATTCAAGTTTAATATTTATAAATTTTTAAATATCCCGTACGTAATTTTCTACAAGTATATAGGTCGAAATTGAATACAGGGTTTTAAGGGTCGAACTGACGGGAAGAATGGATAACTACCAGTACTACTAAGCTTCCCATTTAGACAATCAACAAATTGAAGATAATAAAACTAAGCTAAAATTTGCAAGAATATAGCAAATAAAACCTCCTTAGGTCATGGTATCTCTAACTACTCATGTAAGTGTAATTTTTAGATCATTGAGCACTACTACCTTGGCTAGTTATGATGTAATTTCTTTATACATATGAAACCTACTCTCGTAGCGAATCTATTATATCTATAACTAATTCATACCCACTATTGTTTACAATTTATTACATCTACAAAAGTATATGGAACAAAATCACAAAAGCTACAAAGGTGTACCTTCACTCTTATGAGTGTGTTCCCTAGGTTTAACATTTCTTAGAACTAGTGTTAAATTTCAAATCTCATTGCAAATCTAACAACTTCAAATTAACATAGTTAGTGTCCAGTTAATCCTGATTAGATAATAAAAAATGCTAAATAATTTGCTAAAAATAATAGCATCAAATAGGCAAGAAATCAACATAATGCAATCATAGAAAATTCAACCAAAACCAAGACAAAAACTTTAGAAAGACATAATGAACATAAAATCCAAAACTTGTATATTAATCAAACATAAGAATTCAATATAAAAGATAAAGTATTGGAGAAGAGAAAACCTTTATCACGTGAGTTTCATCCCCTCCTTCTTCATCTCCATCTTTACCTAGTTTTGCCAATGTACAAGAGTTGATAACACACTCTACTACCTAAACTATATTATAATAATCTAAAACTAAGAAATTATAAGATCTACAATTTCTAGTGTGTTCTTGCACTCTCCAAGCTCCCTCAATTTGAAAGATACAAGCTCTATTTATAGAGAAATTTTCAAGCCTTTAATTGTGTATCTTCAATGTGAACTTTGCTCCAATTAGTCAACATTTTGGGCTTCAAAGCCAAAGCACATCATTATTATTATTATTATTAAAGAAACAAGGTCAAGAATTTTTATTAAAATCTCCACTTTATATCTAGAAATCTTCTATAAAATGTCCCTCAAAAGGTGTGAAATGATAGAGTTAAAATCAAGTTGCACAAGTTATAGCCGCAATGTTTGACCAAAATCCCTTCAAAATTTCAGTTTGATTCTTGAAGGGATTGCTCCCCTATTTGCCAAAAATTTCTGCATCGAATTCCTCCAGCAATCCCTAGAAGGATTTTCGGAGGGATTTGAACCGACTTTCTTTTTCGATGAGTTTCATCATCATTTTTGTTTTTGTTAATCAAAACATCTTTGAAACTTACCATCCTGGCAAACTTTAGCATTCAATCAACATAATACAAATTTATTTCTGTTCAAAATGAAGTCCATTTCCAATTTCTACAAAAACAACAAAAATATGTGAACAAAAAGGACAAACATCTCATTAAAAGCACTAAGTAGCATTTAGAACCAATTCTAGTAAAAATGGACCATTTTCTTTTTATAATATTGCAAAAGTGACTAAAAGCAACATAAAATATCATCCAATTATAGTGCAAAATAGTCATTTATCAGTGAGAAATACCATCACCTGCTCAAACATGTGCTACTAATTACCTCATTTTAGTCAAGATTAAGAAATAGCTAACATAAGTTACTCAGCCAGCATATATTTGCAAGTGAATGGTCTACATACTTATTTAGAATAACAAATGCAAAATCCAGAACAAGATAACCTGATCATCCAACCAAGCCACACCCACTGCCGGGCAATCCAGAGTCCATTTTGCATATACTCATAATTACGACTTCACCAACTTAGCCAGGTGAGTTTTTCGATCCCAAGCAATTGCAAGCAAGGAACATTTTTCTGATGTTTCAGCAGGTATAGTTTCTACAGCTACACAAATTCTTCATAAAGCAACACTTAAAAAATGAATATCCTAACATATGCTTCCAAACATACCAGTTGAAGGACCGAGCAAATCAGACGTGCATTTCCAAGCAGCATAAGGCATCGAACCATCCGCAACACCATCAGAACCGATAACATTATTCTAAACTATATATACCTTCGTGCAGCACATATTTAACATTAAATCTTCCTAGGCTAGCAAAAAGAGAACTCAGAATTGAATCAATTCATAATTGTAAATCTTCAAATTAATTCATGTTAATTCATGTAAGTTTTGGAAGTTAGGTTTATATTCCTGTCTTTTAGCTTTTAATAAAATTTGGAGCTAGCATCCCTTCCTTCTCATGTACAGTGTTTGCCGATATAAGAAACACATGTTTAACATTAACTTTTAAATTTAAATATGTATTAACATATTAAAATTTACAAAATAATCAATTTTTAATAGTCATCATAAATGGTTAATGGGTAATAAAAAGTAATTTTTAATCATCCATAGATAGTAAAAAGTGAAAATTAAAACAATACTAGTAGTTGATCTTGTTTATTACAATTTACTACATAAAAATTGAATTTATGCGAATTCTAGTATGTTCACATGTCTCTTACTAACTAGTAAGAAACATCTAGTATTTTGTAATATGGCAGAGTTTGTCAACAATTTATTAACAGTGAAACTAAATAATAATATTAAAGGAAAATAAAAATAAAAATAGATTAACCATTCCAATAACAATAACGAAAGAAAAGTAGTAGCATGAATGAAAACCGGAAGGGGGAAAATGAAAGAAAAAGAAAAGAACGATGAAGAAGAAGAAAAGAGAAATAGGGAAATAGGAACAAATATAATTAACATAGCAAAGGTACCATGGTCCAAAAATATCAAACTCGGCTTGAGTGCTTATAAAAACTTGTACAGTTGGGAGTTTTAAACTTTTAATGTATTTAACCATAATAAAAATCAGGAAAAAAACCACTCTTGATTTTAGTCAATTCATATACAACATCTTTTATCTCCATTCGTTCTCCTGGTACTTGTGAAGAGCATGAAAGTCCAATGGTGAACAAAGCGAGAAGGTGTTGATTCATTTTATCTTCCCCTTCTTCTTCTTGCACAATTTCAGACTGATAATTTTCTGCTTCTCTTCGAAGAAGCAAGGGATCCACAATCTTCCACAATTGTGGCAGTGCTATCTTGACATAATCATGGAGATTAAATCCATCTTTGAATAAATCATCCGTTGGTCTCTTTCCGGTTAGCAGCTCCAGCAAAAGTACTCCATAGCTATATACATCACCAAGAGTTGAGACTTGGCTTCCCATCCCATACTCTACAAGATAATCAGTGTCAAAGAGGACTTAGAAAGGGCAAATTTAGCACTCGTATTAATGTAGAAAAGAAGTTCAAAATGGTCAGTTAAGTCTACGAAATAATATAAGACTCTTCAAGAACAAAACAACATAGAAAAGCTTTGTTGTATCCATAAAGGAGTTTGATTTAATAGTTGGGACAAAATTTCCTTAACGAAATTGATCCCAAACGTCTCAAAGCAAAGCAATCTTGAGTGCATTTTCCTAACAGTTTTGCAGCTCACGTATGATATTTATCTAGAAATTTTAGCAAATTGAACCAGTATCAATACCTGGAGTTGCGTAACCAATTGATCCCCTTATGCCAATGGAACTGGAAGTATTGCTAGTTTTTTCTTGGAGAAGCCTTGCCAATCCAAAATCACCGACACAAGTGATTAAGTTTTCATCTAGAAGGACATTAGACGGCTTTAGATCACAGTGGACGAATGGAGTTTCAGCTTCATTATGAAGATAATTTAGTGCAGAAGCCACATCAATTGCAACATTTAACCTTTAAAGCAAATTCAAAGTGTTATCTGATCTGTTATGCAGCCACGTATCCAGATCCCCATTCGACATAAATTCATAGATCAGAGATTTAAATTCCCTTCCTTGATAATCCTGGCTTGAACAGCAAGTTACTACTCTAACCAAATTTCGATGTCTCATGTTTCTTAATGCTCTGCACTCAGCCACAAAACTCTTAGAAGCTCCATTTTTCTGGAGGTCAAAGACCTTAATTGCAAATGATCTTTGTTCTTGTGAGTTTAATATTCCTTTGTATACTGATCCAAAAGTTCCTGAACCAATCAGGTTCTCATGGGAAAACCCTTCTGTTGCTTTGTGGAGTTCACGGTAAGATATCATAATCATTGAGAAGTTTTCTATCAGTATCATGGATGAATTCCTTGTCCTTCTTCTGCAATATACCATGCAAAAAGAGACCAAAGCTACAAAGATAATTCCAAGAGCAACAATAAAGGATATGAATCTGATTGGAAGAGGCTTTCTTCTTTTCCTTGATTCATCAGGGCATGATGGTAACTGCAGTTCAGGTATACCACCACAAAGTCCAGGATTTCCAACCAATGATATTAAGCTTTCATTCTCAAAGATTCCACCGATTGGTACCTTGCCTTCAAGGTTATTAAAGGACAAATTTACAAATTGCACACTCAATAGTGCCTCGAGATCTTTGGGTATTTGGCCAGTGAAGTTGTTTCTTGACATGTCCAGTATTTGGATATCTTTCAAAGAAGCCAATTTTGCAGGGACTGTCCCATGGAAAAAATTGTCTTGCATACTAATGTATTCCAGGTCTGAACATTGTCCAATTGCATCTGGAACTTCTCCAGAGAATTTGTTGCGGGAAATATCGAACTTGTAGATATTGCTCATTTTAGATATTTCACCGGGAAGGGAACCAGAAAAAAGGTTGTTTGACAGATTCAGGTATAGTAAGGAGGACAGCAAACTGAATAGCTCTGTAAATATGATGCCATTGAGCTTATTGTTCGACATGTCTAGGTAACGTAAATGCTGAGAATTCCCAATAATTGGAGGTATACTGCCTTGCAAGTCATTTGAAGACAAGTAGAGAAAGTGCTGATATTAAACAAAGATGATGGTATCTGACCAGAAAAATGATTTTTGGCTAGATGCTACTCCTGCAACATTTGAAATTTACCCAAAATATTTGGTATAGGAACTGAGAAAAAATTATTATCCGTGGCCAGATAATATAAGTTATTTAGATCTCTGAGCCACAATGGAACTTCTCCCAAAATCTGATTCAATCCAAGATCAAGTTGGTCCAGCATGTTAGAGGAGTTCCATTTGAAAGCAGGCAACTTACCCCCAAAGTTGTTTCCTCTAAATAAAAGAGATTGTAGATTACTGCTGTTCGATAAAGATGCAATAAAGTCCAAGTCTCCTGCAGAGTTGCTTCCCAGAATATTGCCTCCAATACCTAGCCACTGAAGATTGTGAAGATTTCCAAAATTAGTTGGAACCTGTCCTTTCAACATGTTGTCACTAAGCTCAAGTTGTTCAAGCAAAGAAGCATTGGCAAGGGAAACTGGAATAGTTCCCTCGATTTGGTTGCCTCCCAAAAGAAAATCTTGAATATTAGGCAGTGTGAGGCCCATATTTGCTGGCAGATTCCCCTGAAGTATATTGCTTGAAGCAGAAATGCCAGCCAGAGTTGATATATTGTAGATAGAGGATGGAAGAAAATAATTGGCATCAACACCAATGGAATATAAGCTTGTCAATTGGCCTAATTCTTGTGGTATAGGACCCTTCAAATTATTGTAGGACAAATAGATTTGTCTCAGGGATGTAAGATTCCCAAACGACCGAGGAATCTCTCCTGTCAAATTATTTTTACCAAAAGAAAGTCCTTCAAGATTCTTTAGTGAATCAAGCTCAAATGGGATTCCTCCTAGTCGATTCAGTAATGCATCAATGACCTTCAGCTGTATGCAATGGCTAAGGTTTACTGGAATTTCTCCTCCAAATGAATTATTTGTGAGTTTAAGATATCTTAACCGTGTTAATTGTCCAACTTCTTGGGGAATTTCACCGTAAAATCTATTGTGCCTAAGGTTAATGAACTTCAGGAAGGTTAAGTTACCTATATGCGAAGATACATATCCAAACAAGTCCTGTCCGAGTAGATTCAAGCCTGAAACTCTTTGGTGTTTGCCATCACAACTGACTCCTTGCCATTGACAATGGTGCTGGGAATTATTCCATGAACTCAGGACTCCATTTGGATCTTGTGAAATTTTATCCTTGAAGTCCAGAATTGCAAGGAGATCAGTCTCGTTTCCTAAATGTCTTGCCGCTGAAGTGCCTTGTGACTGGTTGAACGCAAGTATCAGAATCATGAAACAGAGACTTGATGACCAAAATCCCATTGAACTTCTGCTTTGATCACTCGTCGCTAGTTTTTTCTTGAACTAGCTTGTTTGTACAGTTCAGAGAGGATTGGCCTATTCCTAAATAAACTGCTACTGCAGCATTATTTGTGCAGGTCCTACTATATTTTCAGGTATATCTTTGGTACACAATGGATTTCAATCAATGAATCACAGCTGAGAGAGATTTGGGATTTTGTTCTTCATGTTCATGTTTGATCTACAGTAGGTAACTAGTGTTGTTAATGTGAAACTGCTTCAGTCGTAACCTGTATGACTAATTGATTTTTTTTTTTTTTTTTTGAGTTTTGCCCAACACTTTTTTTCCAGTCAATGGTACGCAAGTTTGTTAAGAAGATTGATAATGTGCTTTAATACTTTTTTTAGCATTTACACTAATGGCGTATTAAAAAAATTGTTCTTAATTTTAAGCTACCGTTTACCTAATAAATAATTTTAAATAGTGAATCCAAATAAATATGGCTCAGCTTTGGGCACTCATACCATGGGAGGCAGAGAAAGCGGAAGCAAAATAAAAAGAAATGACGGCCAAAAAGTCAACACAAGACTTCACATATTCTTTTTGGGTAAAATAGTCAATTTCATACCTAAACTTTGTTACTACTGCCGATTTAATCCCTAATTTTAATTTCTAACCAATTTCATAGTTAAACTTATTTCACAGTTCCAATTAATGACCTCCGTATTGAAATCACTATTTAAACAAATCTGGTTTCTAATTTAATAACTAAACAGGAATATTATGGCGTGTAAAAAACAACCAGATAAAACTTTGAAATCGTATAAAAATCACCGGATAAAACTTTTTTAAAGTTTAATATTGTGATTTTTTACACAATTTACTTAATTTATTGCAGTCTCATGAGTGACATTTTCAAAATACTCCTATTTAATTAACCAATTAGAAGTTAGATCGATGTAAATGGTGGCGCCGCCATTGAATTCTTTAATTGGAATCGCAAAATAAGTTTTACTTAGAATAAAAGTTAGGGGCTGAATTGGCACTAGTGAAAAAGTTTTGCTATGGAATTGGTGATTTTCCCACTCTTTTTGTCATTTCAAGACTAGAAGTAAAACTTGTAGCATTGCACATTTGCACGTCCTTTCAGCCGGCCGTCGAGGTCGAAAATGTGAAAGTTTGAAAGCCATTGCTCTTTCACGTGTAAACTTTGCCATCCGCGCAATAATAGAGCGGCAGAGAATGATCAGGAGAATGTATTGACCAGAAAACAAACGCTAGTGTTATTTTCAAATATTTTCCTGTCCGAACCAATTAAGGGATGATTAAGAGAATGTCTTTGACCAAAATATAAGGTCAGCGTTATTGTCGAAGCTATTATTTTCTCGTCAGAGCAAATTTACCCTAAGGACCAAATTGCCCTTTATGGTCAAAATCCTTCCCTTGTGATTATATTGCATTGGCTCTCATCTTTCATGTAGTGGTTTGAGTTTGTTGTGTTGCTGAAATAATGGTGGCTGTGATTTTTGGGTTTTAATGGCCTTGCTGGAGTTTTTGATTTGAGAATTGGTGCTGAAATTATGGTGGCTTCTGATTTCTGGATTTGAATAACTTCATCGGAGTTTTTGATTTGAGAGATGATTGATCTAAAACTTTTCGTTTGGTTTGCACCAAAGCTACCAAATGTACAGATTCGTTGTGCAAGTGATTTGCTTGTTGACTGGATTTCCGCCTTGGAGATCTAACTTTACTTTTCAATCTAAAAGTAATGACTGTGCAAATTATGGCAGAGGATTTGGAAATATTGCATCATCATCGGATTTGGAAGGCGATAACCACCTCGTTGGAGAAGATGACTGCAATTGTTTAGTGCGACACTAAGTAAGTAAAAGGATGGAGAAAATGAACTGTCTTGTGGATCCAATAATTTATGTGACGTTGTGTTGTTTAACATATAAAAACAAGATTAAAACCAAAAATTGTTCCAATTTAGTGGACGCTAAAGGAAAAGATTGCAAGTAAAATATATAGAATTCAAAACCTCCTATTTATTAAACAAAAAAAAGTAACATCATACAAAATTGAATTCCAACTTTCCAACTTTTTAATCTGTATCTTGTTTATCATGGAGTAGAAATATGATATTAATAATAGGATGAAGGGAAAAAAAATCTTATTTATCAAGTCTGGAATGCAAAGTAACAACATTGTTAAAACAAGACAACTAAAGATTGCAAAATCTCTTTATAACATACTAGAATTCTGAGATTCATTATTGTTATGAAAAAAAATAAGAGAATAAGGACGGAACCATTATCTTTTGTTGTCTATTGACACTTTAATAGAACTAGTAATGGAGCACGTACTTTGCACGTGGACATGATACATTTAGATTTTTTTTTCTTTAAAATTTTCAGAAAATTAATTATTTTGAAGGAATAAATGTAATTGAGACAAACAAATGTGATATTTAATATTTATATTAATTTTATATTTTTTCTAAACATAGTTTGCCCTAACCGATACAAATGCACAAGTAATAAATCATTCTTTGTTCCAAGAGCACTTTTATTTTGTAATAGTATTAATATTTTTGTCTTTTGGCTAAATTTAGATGACCTAAATGTTCTTTTTATGCCATTCGAGTTTAAATTTTTAATTTTTTGAATAATTTGTTTCTCCCCTTTAAGTCATTCTATGAATTATTTACTAGTTTTAGTGAGATTTTCTAATTATTATTTTTTTTTGTTGACGGTGGATTGTAAAATGATCTGTAGTGCTATTGCAATTATAATAGTATCTAAATATATTGAAATTTCATTGTTTGAATTTAAATAGCTTAATTTTGAAGAGAAATGTTTTGATCTAGTGAAACTTATTTGTATTTCTCACTGATGACATGCTTAATGATTATAGAATTATATGATTAAAAATTGTAAAACGTTAAAATTATTCATTATATAATAGTCAAGCTGACTTGCATATATTTTTATTCACCTTTGAAGTACTCCTTGAAATTGATACTCAAAGGGATGTTTCACCTTTGTAAATATTATTATGATTGGCATTGATGAATATAATATTCATTAGTTTCATATTGTTACTTATTACAAAAATATGATTGATAATGTTCATTAAATTTAATCTTTTTTGCAATTTAAATAAATAAATTCCCAACATAAAACTCTTTGCCTACCTAGGTACTCATTTCCTATTATATTTTGTATTAAAGTTTTTTTTTACTCAATACTAACATATGCATATTAAAAAGGTGCCCTCAAGGTTTAATTTACTTGTGTCCAAACATAAAAAGACTCGTGGTACTTTTTAAGAGATTTATAGTACCAATTTATTATGTTTTGTTTCATGTTTGAAGTACTCTCTAAACTTGGATTTTGTAAATAAAATTTATTTTTCTTTCTTTTGGTAAATTAAAAAAAAAGAATCTCTCATTTTTCTAAATGCTATCATGTTTGATATTATTTATTAATAATGAAATGCAATGCAATTTGCCCATTTATTAGAGAGGAGTATAATTTTGGCATCACTAAAACTAATATCATTTTTTGCTTCCACTATTAACCACTAAGATTCACCCATATTTTTTATGATTTATAAATAAAATTTGTTCTTATTTTTTGATTTAATTCACTATAACTCAAGGAATTTTTTCATTCTTGTAATTATTGGCATAATTGATATTAATTATTGATGAAGTGTAATGAATTGGTTGTTCTTTTTTGGTTTAATTCACTAGAATCACTACACGTGTAAAAAACAACTAGATAAAACTTTGAAATCATATAAAAATCACTAGATAACACTTTTTTAAAGTTTAATATTGTGATTTTTTTACACAATTTACTTAATTTATTGCAGTCTCATGAGTGACATTTTCAAAATACTCCTATTTAATTAACCAATTAGGAGTTAGATCGATGTAAATGGTGGCGCCGCCATAGAATTCTTTAATTGGATTCGCAAAATAAGTTTTACTATCAAATTGGTTTAGAATAAAAGTTAGGGGCTGAATTGGCACTAGCGAAAAAGTTTTGCTATGGAATTGGTGATTTTCCCACTCTTGTTGTCATTTCAAGACTACGTGTAGTAAAACTTGTAGCATTGCAGATTTGCACATCCTTTCAGCCGGCCGTCGAGGTCGAAAATGTGAAAGTTTGAAAGCCATTGCTCTTTTACGTGTAAACTTTGCCATCCACGCAATAATAGAGCGGCAGAGAATGATCAGGAGAATGTATTGACCAGAAAACAAACGCTAGTGTTATTTTCAAATATTTTCCTGTTCGAACCAATTAAGGGATGATTAAGAGAATGTCTTTGACCAAAATATAAGGTCAGTGTTATTGTCGAAGCTATTATTTTCTCGTCAGAGCAAATTTACCCTAAGGACCAAATTGCCCTTTATGGTCAAAATCCTTCCCTTGTGATTATATTGCATTGGCTCTCATCTTTCATGTAGTGGTTTGAGTTTGTTGTGTTGCTGAAATAATGGTGGCTGTGATTTTTGGGTTTTAATGGCCTTGCTGGAGTTTTTGATTTGAGAATTGGTGCTGAAATTATGGTGGCTTCTGATTTCTGGATTTGAATAACTTCATCGGAGTTTTTGATTTGAGAGATGATTGATCTAAAACTTTTTCGTTTGGTTTGCACCAAAGCTACCAAATGTACAGATTCGTTGTGCAAGTGATTTGCTTGTTGACTGGATTTCCGCCTTGGAGATCTAACTTTACTTTTCAATCTAAAAGTAATGACTGTGCAAATTATGGCAGAGGATTTGGAAATATTGCATCATCATCGGATTTAGAAGGCGATAACCACCTCGTTGGAGAAGATGACTGCAATTGTTTAGTGCGACACTAAGTAAGTAAAAGGATGGAGAAAATGAACTGTCTTGTGGATCCAATAATTTATGTGACGTTGTGTTGTTTAACATTTAAAAACAAGATTAAAACCAAAAATTGTTCCAATTTAGTGGACGCTAAAGGAAAAGATTGCAAGTAAA